AAGAGAGAGAAACCTAACCTAACCTAACCTAACCTAACCTAACCTAACCTAACCTAACCTAACCTAACCTAACCTAACCTAACCTAACCTAACCTAACCTGACCTAGCCTGACCTAGCCTGACCTAACAAACGAGTGTCGTTCACTCCCAGCCGTCAGTGATATGCTAAGAGGTCTGTTGTGCACGTTATTGATATGTTTACATCTGGTTTCTGTTGGCTGTCATTAGACTCTGCTACGGTATGCTTTGATAGTACTATGGAGTGCTATGGAGTGCGCACCAACGACTTTGGCGCCTACCGAGCCTACATAGTCTGTAGGCTGTGCTCCGTAGCAAATCTTTTTTCCTGATGTTGACGACCTATCGCCGTCACATCCATGCTCGTTCAAGAGCGAGAGCATGAAGTTCACTCCCGTCGAGGCGCAGCAAGTCCTCTCCGGCCACGCCCCCGCGCGCGAGTGCGAGCTGATGGTCCAGGCGTACCCCACCTGCACCTTTTGCACCGCCCACGTGCACCGCGGGACCAAGTTCTTCTCCGCGAGAAGAGCGCCCGCAAGTGTGCTCCGTCAAGATCCAGGTACTCACGCGCACGTACACCACGTTGGGTTCGACGGTGCACACCACGCGCGCTTTTCGACAGGTTGGAGGACCTCGCGCAGTCGTGCGCCGGTCCGAGAGGATCGGATGCGGGAGGAGATGCGCGCGCTGGCGATGGGCAGGAACCGTTGGTGTTCACAGACACAGAATCCGGGTTGGTGCAGGCCGAGCCCGTAATCTCTAGACCGGTTCTCTGATCCCGTCTGAGGGGTGGGAGTGCCGAGATGGGGTGCACTTGAGGAGCCTCAGGAGTACGAGGGGAAGGCGTATCGAGATTATGCTCTCGAAGAGTTCGATTAGTTGTTCTGTATTATAAGTAGCAATTGCGGGCGCGCATGGTATCGTCGCCATGGCCGGCTCTAATGAGGCCGTCGCGAATGGGGGTCGAACTGCCGACTGGAGTTTGTGATGTCAGAACGCCGCCGCATCCCGAGCGGCCGAGCCATCCCATCCTGGCAACCACCAGTCTTCCCCACTCTGCCCTGGCGACCTGCGCCTGGCGCACCGCGCGCTGCGAACCCGTCTCTTTCATTCCATCACACGGATGTCAATCCCACACCGTCCAAACGCGCGCCAGGCTCGGCGCACGGCAACTCACATCGCCCGAGTCCCGGAACCCTCGTCAAATCGCGCACCTCGCATACGCATACCGCTTGGTCGCCACATTTCGCGCCACGTTACGTCGACATCGAAGGCGCAATCCCCCCTCGACGTCGCCGTCGTACTGTCGTGCTCGCTGTCGAAGGCCGCGGAGGTTCGTTTGATGCAATAACCCGATGACATTGCGACGACGGGCCACCGAGGCGCCGTCTCTGTACTTGAAGGAAGAGCCTTGCCCCGTCCACATCCGCCTATCTCCATCACTCTCAGACGGTCGAGGTTGAGGCAAAGAGCATCGAAGGACCAAGGACGGCATCCGCCCCATGCGGTGTGCCCCGATAAGATGGTGTACCGGTATCTAATCTCCCCAGGCGGGCACCGAGCTGTCGGGCGGGGCCTCCTAGAACCTCGTCGTCTTCTTCCGTTCATGCTGTCTCCCTCTCACACGCAACGCGCTGCACGCGGGCGGGTCGGGCGAGATGGCTCGAGATCCGTGACCTCGAGAGAAGTTGGCGCTGCGTGCGATCGCCCGTCCGGTGGGCGCGCGTGCTCACTATGGCGCCTTCTCCCTCTCCTGTTCACTCCCTCCAACCGCGGTCCGCGGGTTTGGGCTCGAGCCTGTGGCACACGAACGGACGGAGGGACAGCGGCGGAACGTCGAACCTCGGGGGTTTCGTCAGCCGTCTGTCGCACGCGTCACAAGTACTGCGTCCAACCTAGCACGAGTTCGCGAGGTTATACTTGGACGATCCTCCGGGCTTGGCTTGGCTTCTGCGCGGACCCGCAACCGTCATTGTCCGCGCACGTGTCTACCGAGCCCGAAGTCCGACGTCCATCGATCTGTCGTCGCTGAGTTGCTGCGTCTTTCCGAACCCGCCCCAGGGACCAGCTAGCCTCTGCATAGAGGACTACCACACTCTCGCCGCAGCCACGTCGCCCCTCGCCGCAGCCACGCACCGCGCCGTAGTCCCCCCTCGCGCTCCACGACGTCCACCCGGATCTGGCTCGCACCCACTGAGTACCTGCGCTCAACATACGCCCGATCCAATCGAACATCCTCCAGCGCACAAACGCCTCCCTGCGCCCGATACGTGTGCCCGCCTCCCACGGCACGCCTCGTGCCCGCGCTGCCCGACCCCGGCGCACGGGTCACGCGCCCCCGAGCCCGAGCTCAAACGCACCAGTGACCGCACAGTTCCGGGAGAAGTCGACGTCGATTGTAAGTCGCGTGCGGACTCGTGCCGTCGCTGCGTGCGTACTCCACTTTCTCGATTCTCGCGTCTGCGCTCTGCGGCCATCGCCAGCTGGACCATCACGCACACATTCGACGTCTGATGATTATGTTGACATCGACCGTCGCGCTCCGACATGCAACGGCTAACCAGAAACCCCCGCCCGCGAGCGAGCACCCATGCGCGGGCCGTCAGAGTTGCGTACGTGGACCCGTGGACCCGTGCACTTCCCCCTCCGCGTCCGAGAGCCAGAGCGCTTGACCGCTCGCAGCCATCGGTTGACGTGCGGATTCAGACTCCAAAGTCCCGCACCGCGCTCGACACGGAGCAGCGGGACTCAGCGCAGACGCGACAGTAGCGAGTACGAGGGTGATGGTGTATTCGGTCGTATGTACAAACGAATATTGACACCTCGCACGCTCACGCTAAGGCGCATCCCGCTCGCATGCTCGTAAAGTCACCATCGTCTGACGCGAGGGCAGTCTCGACCGCGAGAGCATATGATTGCTCGAACGTAGAGTACCTATTACCAATCCCGAGAATACGCTACTGCCCATTCGCCGTCACCTAACGTACACACACGCGCTCCTACGTACACGACGAACAACATTGACGACACTGTCCGCTCTTGTCCCGCAAGGAGCCCTGGCCCAGGGTATGAGGTAAGTAACAGTTGGATGAGACGACGATCGATAACGAAGGCGGATGAACGAGGGTGGGGGTGCGAGGCGGCAGTTTCGCGGCCTCCACTTCGGGTGCTGGTGGATTCTATTAAGGAGCGGTGGTGGGCGTCGAGCCTCGCGACCAGGAATCTGCGCTGGGGCCCGGGAGGTCCAAAGGTTTCGAGTTTTGACAGTCCGGGCGGCGGGCGCTGGGGCGCGCAGGCATGACGCGGGGTGTGGCGAGAGAGCGAGCGTGGAGATTACAGACTAGCGACGGGGCGGGGGCCGGGTCTGGCGGGCAGGGGGGATGGTACATGCGGGCGAGTGTGTGCGTGGTATCGTGTACGAGCGTGGGGCCGGCGGCGGCAGCAGCGGCAAGAAATAGCAGCTCCGCGCGAGCGGGGAGGGGCGCGGGGGCGAGCATAGATAGCAAAAAATACAATCAGGCAGACGACCTGCGAGGGGGATAGGCGTAGGCGTGGGAGCAGCAGCAGGCAGCGGAGGCAAAGAGCAGACGAGCGGGGGAGGATACAGAACGGGGGATATTATAGGTTAAAGCGAACGAGCGCGAGGGCAGGGAGAAGGCAAGAACAGGACGAAAGCGCAAAGGAAACGAAAGTCGATCGAGGCGGAGTGGTGACTTACAGCATCGCGGCCGCGTATGCGTGCGCGCTGCCACCGCCACCAACGCTGATCGGTGCGCTCTTCATCATGCCCATGCCCATTCCACCCATCGGGCCAATGCTCATCCCGTCGTCCCATCCGCCCGCCCCGCCCTGGGCCATCCTGCGCGGGACCGCGCCGGGGCCGCTCATCACGCTTGGCATCTCGTACGAGCCGTGGCTCGCAGGGGACGCGTAGCCAGAGCCGTTCGAGTTGACCGAGCCGCTGCGCTCACGACGAGGGCCGGAGGGGGAAGTGTCGTCGGTCATGCGCTGGTGGAACATCTGTTGTTGGTGCTGTTGCTGGCGCTGGAGGCTCATGAAGTACGCCTGCTGGGAGCCGGGCGCCATCGGGGACACACTGCCGTTCGCGTGGCCGTGCGAGGATGTCGGCGGGGTGAAGAGCGCAGGCCCGCCGGGGACCGACGCACCGAACATCTGCTGCGACGCCCAGGCGGCCTTGTCGTCGTGGACACCGTGTTGCGTGCCGCCCATGCCGCCCTGCTGCATGTACTGCCCCTGGAAGTGAGCGTGCATCGGGCCCGAGCGGGGCTCGTACATCGAGGACATCGCCGGGTTCTCGAACGAGACCGAGGACGGGCTCTGGACGACCATCGGCGTGTGGGGGCCATGGGTCGCGGGGCGGGGGAGGATCGTCTGGAGCTGGAGGTTGCTGCGCTGGGGGACGTTATGGGCGAACGGGTTGGCGCCGCGCATGTCGTCCATGGGGATCTCCTCGTGAGCGGAGGGGACGGGGGCAGGGGTGTAGTCGTCATTGCCGTACTCGTCGTCGTACTCGCCCTCCGCACCTTCTTCCTCGATGGGGCCGGCGTTGAGAACCTCGACCTCGCCAGAGAGGATCATCTGGAAGGCCTCGCCGCGGACGGGCTCGTCAACGCGGGGGAGGCCGGAGCGGTCGCGCCATTCATTGAGTTCGCGACGGAGGGCGTCAGACTCGAGCTTGAGGAGACGGAGCTCGCGGGCGGCGAGGAGGCGGTGGCGGCGGGAGGCGTGGATGTGGGCGATGGACGAGTTGACGATTGAAGACTTAGAGGGCCGGCGGATCTGGGAGAGGTTGGGGAGGAGGCCGGCGAGATCCTGTGAAACGAGATGGGTCAGCGCGCCTAGTCGGGCGGGGCAGTAAAGCGAAGACTGACCAAGAAGCGGCTGTTGAGAGTCTCGCGGCGGGCGCGCTCGACGGCGTTGTGGGTAGCCCTGCGCTCAGCGGTGTTAGCGCGACGGCTGGGTTTGCGCTTGGCCTGGGCGGGGTTGGAGGGAGAGGAGGAGTGGGCAGACTGGGCGCCGTCGGCGGGAGGGAGGGCGAGAGTCTGAACGGAGCCGGAGGGGGAGACGGGGGTGCGGGGACCGTTGGAGTCGGAGGAGGGCGAGTTACCACCAGAGGGCGAGTTGGGGATGGAGAGAGGAAGAGCCATGTCGTGGAGAGGTGGTGGTGAGAGCAGAGTACGTGGGGGAGAGACCGTCTAGAAAAGCGAGGGAGGCGTTTTACCGCGAAGTCGTGTGGGCGTCGAGGGAGATGGGGCGGGGGTGCGAGAGAGGGCGGGTACGCGACGAATCAGCGGAATCCGGCCTGGTCTGCAGAGGGTGGTGGAGGGTGCGGCGGGTGCGGCGGGGGTGGTGCTGGGGAGGGTGGGGAGGGTGGGCTGCTTGGTCGATGGTGGGGGCGTGACTACTAGTCGCGAGTGTAAACTCAAGCGGTACTAGACGTTGGAGAGGGCGGATGAAGGCGCTGGCTTGCTTGGAGGGGTGGGCGGATGGGGAGAAGCCGGCAAGGGTCGCGAGATCTGGGTCGCGCGCGATAAGGACATTGTCGGGCAGCGGGGGGCGGGGCGGGGACGGGAGAAGACGGGTACTCACTCCAGGCGGTATCCTTGGGACGGCAGGGGAGAGCGGAGGGGAGGAGCAAGGCGAGGGAGGGCGGGAGGAGAGGCGGGCCTTCAAACGGGGACCATGCGACGGCGAGAGGGCGAGCTCCAGACGGCGGTTGCCCCCGCCCTCGCCATATATCTCGCCCTCGGCGTTCCCCGGGGGCCTTGGCCATATCAGGCAACGGACCGTGAAACTTATCGCCCGCCCTCGCCCGTCCTCGTTCCGGCAGAGGCCTCCGCCCGGCCTCCCTCTCCGACGCCGCCAGCTCCGGCGCGTCGAGGGCGATGGATGGGTCGCCCGCCGCTGTACTGTCCGCCGCGCGTGCGTCCCCGAGCTCTCTCTCGCTCCGTCCGTCGGCCTCTGGCGCCCGCCCATCACAAGGGCCATCGCGCGCCCGGCCCTTTCTTGGTCAATGTCGCCTTCGCCAACTGTTTGTCCGTGCCCCCGTCGGCGTGCGCTCAGCCCCGTCTCGCGACCGGATCCTCGCGCATTGGCACCGTCGGAGAGCACTGCCTGCCCGCGTTTGCTCGCGGCAACTCATCCGTCTTCTCGTCGCCTCATCCTCCAGCCCTCCTCTCGCACGCTCCGTCGAGAGAGAGAGCCCAAGCGTCCTCCGACGATCTCCCGCCGCCTGCCCGCCTGACTCGGCGCGCCTCCCGCCTCGAGAAGACGGCCGTCACCTGCGCCCGCCCTCGCCCGTGCACGCCGCAGTCGCGCTGCCGTACTCGCCCAGGCGCCAGGATGGTCGATGCGACGCGCCACAGCCGTGTCTCGAGCGTCCCCGCCTCGTTCGACAGCTCTCCCAGCCGCGCACGACGACAACATCCCGGTCCCCTTGCCCACATCCCCCGACGCCGACCGTCCACTGTCCGCCCTCCCGTCTCCTCTCGCCCACACGCGCCCCCACACATCCTGCGCCCAGCCCGAACGCGTCTCCTCGTCAGCCTCCGTCTCCGTACCAACCGGCCCGTCGATCGAGCCCTGCCAGGGCCCGACCCGGTGCGCACACTCGTCCTACGTTCGGGGTACATCCGCGGACGTTGAGCGGGCGGCGGCAGCGGCGGAGATGGGAAACATCGTATGTCGAGACGTCGGTGGCGGGCGATCGAAGCTCGTGCTCGCGCCCAGGAGGTGTGATAGAGCTGATCGCGCGTTCTGATCTCGCGTCGCCCTCCTCCGAGCTCTGCCCTGCGAATCCGATCGTGTGAGCCCCGTCTCGCGACCCTGCACTGTCCACGGGCGCCCATGTCGATCCGCCCACTGCCCAGCCACGTCGAAAGACGAGATGGCAGAGGCCAGGGCGCGAAGCCCGAAGACAGCTCGAAGTAGCACTCAGTGCCGAGCGCCGAGCAGCGCAGCGGTCGATGCCAGAGAGGGGCGCGAGGGCGATCAATGCGCGCACGCGTTCGCTCGCCTTTGCCTTGCTTCGGGCCCGCGCGTGCGCATTCCCCCCTAGCTCCTGTGTTCGCCACTCACGCCGCGCGGTGTCCGGTCTCTCAAGTGCTGGCCGTGTCGATCGCGTTGTTTGCCAGATCTATGTTGCCCACGATCTACGCGCCGGTGCACCCCATCCCCGTCCTCCAGGCTCCGAGTCCAGCCACACACATAGGAGAACGTCACGCTCGTTTGTTCACCGGTTCACGATCGAATTGGCGGCACGTTTGCCTCCATATGTTCTCTGCTCCCCGCAAAACACTCGCGCCGTCTCCGTCGTCGGCCCTCGGGATGGGTTCTCACTGCTCGCAGCGCCGCCGCTGCCTCCGCCTCCGTTCGGACAGCGTCCCACCTCGTCCGGCCCCTGTCCGGCGTTCAAACCGCTTGAGTGCCTGGGGCAGCCCACGAACCCAGCGTGCACCGAACCGGCCTCGTCGCGAGCCCAATCTGGCCACATTCCCCGCGAGCTTCGCGCCTCTGCATGCACGGACAGCCCTTGCCGCGGGGTCCGGTTGTACTCGCGACACATCATTTAATTTCCGCGCACCCCGCTTCCGTCTTCCATCCCCGAGACCGCTTCTTGCAACGGACCTTCACCCTCCGACGACCTTCTCCTCGTCCTCCGTCGCCTTCCCACCACACACTGACCCCAATCACATGCGCAGCGCAGCGCAACCTCCGCTCGTCTGCATCGTGCGCACGACGTCATCCGAGCATGTGAGTACGGCACCGCCATACTTGCTACTTACAGACCGCGGTACTCTCCTTCTCACGCGGCCGCGAACGCCTGGCCAGCAAACCACGCCCGCATTCCGAACGCCGTGTCTCGGACTCGCCAAGTTCCCCGCGCATCATGTCTTCGTCTAATCACATGCACACGCGATCCCGACGCCCGATCCAGCGTCTGATGCGCCAGCGAAAACTGTTTTCCCAGCGAACGTCGATGCCCGTGGGCGCCAGTGCCATAGACGGCGGTGTGAGCCTCGAAGGGAGGAGGGCTCGGCGTCGCGTGCGCGCGCACGCACTTGCACCTGGGAGGGCCGCGCCAACGCGGGCTGCGAAGTGCAGTGTGAATTGGCGGCCCATTGAGCGTCCATCGCGCGCTCGCACGCTGGACTGAGCCAGCTGCTTCGCGCAAATTTACAGTTGAGTTTGGACAGCGTCCCGTTCATCGATGCGCGCGGCGCCTGCGAATCTTCCGCCTCACAGCCCACCCGAGATGAACGACAAAAGACAGCTGGGAACGCGCGCTGCAGGCGAACGGGCCGGAACCACCTCCGGAGCTCCACACCCCCGCCCCGGGCTCGCCGACCGTATGCAGTGAGTACTGCTCATAGATGGTGCAGGCAGGCCCTCCCTCGCTGCACCGTCTGTGTGACTGCACGTACGGTCGTCGAGGGTTTCGCGAGATGAACGTTCATCCGTTCCATGTTTCGGGTCCTGGTCAGGACGCCTTGACCCCCTTTTCTCCCCCGTCACTCGTGGTCGGAACAGGTGACTTCAGGTATGACGCTTAGAAACCTGTTTTAGCTGTGTGTAAGATGGCTGGGTAGCACTCACGACGCCGCGTTTGACAGGCAGCAACTCCGACAGCTGCAACAACACCGCTGGCGTCTATGGTTGCTTCAGGCTCCGACTCTGCCCCCATGATCGTCAGGAGCGCCAAAGTGCTCACACCCAGGTGGTTCTCGCTTTCGTAGCAACGGGCTCTCTTGCTCATACCATGCAAATAGGCGTCGTCATTTCCGCCAATCCAGGGTGAGTGGGCATTCGCTGGAAGATTGTCTTAGCATGCGCCGCCACTCGCCGGGACGTGCGAGTTGGTGGCGTGCGTGAGTGGGGTGCAGCAGTGCCGAGAGTCGTGCGTTTCCACCCCTTCAAAGTTTAAACGTGACATCAGCAGGTGGAATCCAGGCTTATATCTCGGGGACCCCAAATATTATGTTCGTGCTTCTGTCGCGGTTCCTCCGCGTGATGGTGCTTGCGGCATGATTGCCGCCGTTCGAGGTGAGGTCAAGTGTAATTGACACGTCGCATGTCTTCTGACATTCCCCTTGCGCTCAATTACATGAGGACACAAGTCTAACACGCACGATCTCGTTCGGAGTGGCGGTTCTCCATCGCTATGCACATGCAAGCTTTCTCAGGACACCCCAGTCTCGCGGCACATCCTAGTACCTACTTCCCCCTCGATCATCCATCACTCGACCCCGTACGTATCCGACTCCCACGCGCACCGTGGCTTATTGCGCACGACAGTCCAAAATTTCACCCGCGTCACAACGCACTGCTTCCTGCGTGCAGTAGTGTGCAGTGCGCAGTGCGCAGCCTGGTCGTGCGACGCCGGGCGACTGGCAGCTCTGCGCCTCGGTCACGTTCATGGCATACTCTCCTCTGTTGGTCGGTAGGCGCGTCGTACAACGCATGCCGTTCCGGGGCTGACAGAAACTTCTCGCAGGTCGTTTTGTGGTAACGTAAGATCCACTAATAGTATGTGGTGATGGCGGGCCGACGACGAGGCGCGTCCGGGTGGGCCCTGCGGCGGATATGCATCGCGCACCCCTGGGAGCCTCTCACAGCGACGCACGAACTTCGAAGCCCACCACTGGCTACCGCCGTCCAATCCTTGGCGAGAAATACCCTCACGCTCCCGCAGCTGACTGAGGTCGAGACGCAAAGTATACATACTTGGAAGACGCGCGGGCGCAGCGCACGATCTGATCTCGTCAGCGTCCTGCGCCTACCTAGGCCCACCCCCGAGCGCCGAGTCACGGCGGTGAACGGCTCCCGATCACGGGCGCACATCATCATCAAGTCGTGGCGCATGCCTGCCTTCTCGGGACGACGTCGCGGGGACCTGAACAAACAAAGCGACGCGGGGTGCTCCTGGTTGGAAATGTTCCTCGGTACGTTCTCGAATGCATGGATTGCCTCTCCATACTTGCTGCTAATCGCTGCAATTGCTCGCGAAGAGCGTCCTGCCCGCGGGTCGCGACTCGCGATCTAAACTTGTCGGAATGATGGCACCTTGCCAGATGAAGGGACCAGGGCGCGGGGCTAAGTTTGCGCGTTGACGAAGACGGGCGGAACAGGAGTGGTAGATGATCGTACCGTGGCTGCCCGTGTATCGCATCATTGCTCGACGCTGACGGTCCTTGCTTTACTGAGAGGTGGACACTGGGTATACAGCATCGGCCAAGGGGCCTCAGAACAGTCGAGTTCCGGCACGGCGCCTCCCCACACTCGAGCGAACCACACCGCACTCGGCCGCATTGAACGTCTTCGAGGCCGAGTGCCTCCGACGGCTGCAGTCAGACAAGTGTTGCAACCCGTAAGTCTAAAAATATCCCCCACAGACGAACGAGCGATCGCATGCACACCCAGAGCCACTACGCACACTCACAGGAGTGCGACGTTGTAGGAATATAGGATGTCCACCGTCCAGAACTCGCTCCGGGCTCATGACATGCCATACATACTTGCAGCCTGGCGCCGCCCCGTAACCCGTTCGGCGTGTCAGCCGCGATGTGTGCCGCCTTTGGGCTGTGGACAGAAGCTGTCGCCGCTCGCGTGTCGCGCCCACGGAAAGGGAAGCCCAGTTGGGCGCCGTGCGCGCGCACGTTACGCGTTCCCAGCCTGCGTCGCTGGGGCGCGGCCCCGGTCCACCGCCGACGGGAACGTTGAGACGCGGTGCGTCTGTTGAGATGTTCATATGTTGGTTCAGCGATGTTGGGGTCTGGCGAGCTGCGATCACTGATGTTTTCCCGTGCACTCGGGCTCCAAGCTTCGCCGTCGTCGACGAACGCTTCCGTGTCATGTTCTATCGTAAGGAGCACGCCGGGTCTCCCCGGACTACGCAGAGATGCGCTTGAGCGTTGAAACGTCACCCCGCCGATGGTGGTGCTTCCGCGAAGGAGCCCCTTGGATCTGATGCAGCCCTGCACATCAATGCATCAATGCTGTGCGGCTCGCGATGGCTCGTGATTGTGCGGGGGATATACAGCGGGGGAGATCACCTCAGATACCAAGAACGACGGGCCTTCCGACGACACAAGGGAAAGCACCGTATTGCTTCCAGCAGTGAAGAGTAGACAGTGGCATGTCAATCCCGTCCATCTTCGCCTTCAACTCCGTCGTGATCAACACTTGAGCAACCGTACAGCAAGCGGCAACGGTCACGACATCGAACCCACGTCCGCTGATGCGCCCGCGCCTGTTGAGGATCAAAGCCTTCGGGCTTCTCGCTGCTCTGGCGCTGTGGACACGGATCACCCGGTCTCACTGACTTACCACCCGCGGATCGTACCCTACATAATCTACGCGCAAGCCACGGCGGCTATATTCGCTACGCGAGCCTGCAGGGTCGGGTTCGGATATCATCGTGCCGATCGTACTACGCACCGAAGGGCTCGACTCGGGGAACGTGGTTGGAGCGACAATGTCGACGGAACAAGCGATTTCGATCATCGGGCGACTCTGTTTTTCTCAAACCATGGCATATACAAACGAGAAGGCGGGAGAAGCAGGTATGTGGGCTGTCGGCCTCGGGTGCGGCGGGGAGGGCCCGAACAGGAGCGCGTCGGAGATCTCGAGATGTGAGATGCTTCAAGTCGGCCACGCTAATACGAAAGCCCTGGATGCTCAGATACTTATCAGAGAGCGGATTACCATAGATTGGGGATAGCGCCGGCATGCCAGGATCCCATCTCCCGCTGCCATCTCGACACCCCGCTCGCGATGGCCATGGGGCGCCCAAGAGGAGTCGAGACGAGGTCAGCGGACCGCAGCGCAGACAAAAGCGCAACAGAAGGCCCAGGCGGAAGTGACGGACACGTGGCGGGGCGGAGCACCCTTCGGACATGGTCACCCGCGCAGGGAAGTACAAGGGCTCGGAGGAGTCTGCGGTTTCGACTGCGGGCGGCGCGCGTCACGTTTTATGTATGTGGGACGCGCCCTGGGCTCAGTTACGACGGCGGAGTCGCCAACTGTGGCAGCGGGCGAGCCTATTTCTGGTCCGAGGCCTTTGGCTCAGTCCCGTCAGGATCTGCACGAGGGCATCACACCTCGGGCATAGGCATATGTTCTGGCCAGGTAAATCCGTGGGAATTTGAAGTAAAATGTGTCATTCTGCTAGCATGTCCAATCGCCGTTATATCCGTGTGACAGTTATACTATCTCGGGCATGCCGCATGCATTTCCCGTGGAGAGAAAGGCAACCTTCCCCTTTGCTGCCCGTCCAAGGGACATGCCAGGGAAATGCTACCTTTCCCTTGCATGTCAAATTCAGGTGTGGTGGTTGCAAAGGTTAACACGGGGCACACAGCAACGGTGTGCACCAAAAACAGCAATATGCACGTCCTGCTGCCCCACGGCGCTCGACATAGGCCTGTGAGCTGTGCAATGCCGAGAAGAAATGCCATTGACATGCAAGGGAAAGGTAGCATTTCCCTGGCATGTCCCTTGGACGGGCAGCAAAGGGGAAGGTTGCCTTTCTCTCCACGGGAAATGCATGCGGCATGCCCGAGATAGTATAACTGTCACACGGATATAACGGCGATTGGACATGCTAGCAGAATGACACATTTTACTTCAAATTCCCACGGATTTACCTGGCCAGAACACATGCCTATGCCCGAGGTGTCAGCGATCAAACCTGCACGGACGCGGACCGTGATCGGGAGTACCGTTTAACCCGCTCATTCTTAGGTGTCGGTGAGCACTTACTGGACAATCACGCCGCCTTCAAGGGCAGCTCGGGGCTTGGGCGTAACAGAGAGCTGCGGGGGCAGCGGTGATAGCGACTGTCGTGCGCGCTGCAAGGGGATCGATGCGCTTCCACGGTGACGCCGCGGGCGCAATCAGTGCCAGGCAGTGGACGGATGAACGTTGCGCGACTTGTGTCTGTCGCAGGTCGGATTTTACGTCACTGTCGTAATCTTGCAGCGCAGAATGGGTGTGAGGTGAGTCGGGGGCAATGGTTGAGCGATTTGAGCCTGTGAAACTAGAGTCTTGCAGGAGGGAACTTATCCCGACACACGGAGGGGCCCAGGGGGAGAAGGAATAAGTGTTCGAACAAAAGACGATTCATACGGGAAAAATGGTGGTGGACGTAGCAAAGGCTCAGAAGCAACCTGAGTACTGTGCTCTTCGGTTATCTTGGCATGGCGATGTGCGAGGGAAGTTGTCATCAGTGCTGGCAAGGAACGGAGGAATGTTCGGCGGAACGACGAGGAGGAAAGGTCGGAATGATCGGCTGCCGGGACAGGGGTCAAAGGACGAAAAAACTGAAGGGATGTGGTCCCGGGGAGCAGAGAATGGAAGTCTGAAGGTGGCGGATCGACGAAGCGCAAGATTAGGGAGAGAATGAAGAGATCGTCGGCGGACTGTTTGGTTACCGTGACGGTCCCGGGAAGCTTGTGCTACAAATGTTCTTCTTTGAGGGGCTGATCGTCAAGCCAGGCCGACCGCTCCGGCGGTTGCGGGTGCGTGCGGCGCGCGTGGCAGAGAAGGGAGAGACGGGATGGAGAGAGACACTGGCACGTACAACACCTTGGACTTGAGGCGTGAAACATATTTTTCAGCTTCTTGAGTGCTCCGTGAGTGGTTCCGTGGAGATGCAGACCTCGAGTGACGAAATGAAGCCCGGCGAACGTCCGAAATCCGAGAATGGTCCTCGGAGATTGTTAGTGCAGGAAGCAAATTTGTGACCGCGCAACTTCTTGATACCGAGCGATCCCGGGCCGATCGGCCCGTGGGCCTGGCGAGCGACGGTAGCTGCGGCTACTAGCGCAGGAGGAGAGGCGCAAGCATTGGTTGTCGAGCTCCACGTTCGCCGCCGCGCTCAACGCCATCATGGTCCGTTGCCCACCCAGCTATCAACTTATCCCCGAACGTTCGGCAATCGAGCACACGTAGCTTCGTCGCCGTCGCCATCATTCCATCTTGCTCTCCTGTTGCGGACTGAGGGAGAGTGGCGCTTAGCGGAGCGCGTGAGAACGATGATGTAAGAGGTGGGCGAGAGGTAAAGAAGTCCGCGAGGAGTATTTACGACCGGAGCCCCTACGTACTAGTGTTCCCTACTATACGATACTATTCTTATGCTCAGAACTAAGGTCCTTCGACTTATACGGCGGTTAGCGCGTATAGAGAAGGGCGCGCGACAGAGCGTATCTTGTGGCGCTTAGTTGAGAATAAGATCACACGGCGCGATGCGCGGGTTTAGTATGTAGAAGAGGATTGGGATTCTCGAGGAGCGGAGACTCGCGTCCTTATATACATACAGCGGAAGCGTATTACTAATACAGTCTAGCTACTTCGAATCCTATCTGAGGTTTTCTACGTATATTCGAGAACAGACCGGAAGGTTGAGTCATAGGAACGAGTCATGGTCGAGTCATACAACGGGCGCGAGAACATTCCAGTCTATACTACAAGGATCGGGGTGTACGAGTCTAAGTTATTCCGAACTCATCCTTACTGACCTTTGATCAGTGCGTATCCATAACATCTCCTCTGCGGCTCTCTTCCTCTCCGTCCCCTTGTATCTTGCCCAGGAGAGCTTCCCGATACTGCCATCGCTGGCTCTGCAATGGTACCACCACCCGAGTTCCCGATGATGGACCCCGACCTCATGCAGCGCACGCTCTCTGCGCCCCCCTTCGTCGCCGTCGAGGGCGTCTTCAACCTCCGCGACTTCGGGGGCTACCCTTCCTCCCTGCCCGCGCCCTCACAGTCATCCGCGCCTGCGCCTGCGCGAATCAAGCCGGGCTACCTCTTCCGCTCCGGGGACCCGTCGCGCATCTCACCCGCAGGCGCCGCGCAGCTGCGCGCGCTGGGCGTAAAGAAGATCTTCGACCTCCGCGCGCAAGTCGAGATCGAGAGCTACCAGAGCGCGACGCCCAGGATCGAAGGTGTCGAGTTCGTCAGCGCTGCGATTTTGGAGGAGGCCTTGGACCCGGTGGCGATAGCGGCGAGGTGAGCATCGGCGCATGTGTGTAGTATCCCGGAGGAAGTGGGGAGAGCTCACAGCTCGTGTGCGGCGCGTGGGGCAGGCTGCAGCACTTCGCGGACAACGAGGCAGATGTGAGTCGCGTTCGACTATCTCATGGGCAAGACGCGTCTCAACGGCGGATGGCGTGGGCGGCAGGCGTTCGTGAAGCTCTACACGCACATCCTCGACACGGCGGGCGGGGCCTTGGAGAAGATCTTGGTGCACATGCGTGACAACCCGGACGAGCCGTGTCTGGTTCACTGCACCGGTGCGCCCATCCTTTCTCTGTTTTCTGCCTGCCTTCGGAATACTCGCGCTCACGGAGTTGCAGCTGGCAAGGATCGCACCGGTAACCTCGCTGCTGTGATCCTCCTGGTACGTCTCTCCCCCGCCGCATCGTGTGAAATCTTCTGCTTACCGGCACATCATGTAGCTGCTCGGTGCGCGCAACCAAGACATCACGTCTGACTACACGCTCACCATGGTCGGCCTCCAACCCGCGCTGCCGCTGCTTGCCAAGCGCTTCCAAGCGCTCCCGGCGTTCCGCGACAACTGGAAGGGTACACTCAGCCTCGGGTCCGCGCAGTACGCTCTCTCTTCTCTCTCATCGAGCGCGATCTTTCTGACGTGCGTGGAAGCCCGGAGACGATGTCCGCCATTCTCGACGTCCTGCAGACAAAGTACGGGGGCGCGGAAGGGTATGTGAAGCAACACACGTCGCTAACCGACGCGGACATTGCGCGCATACGCAAGAACATGCTCGTCCCTGAAACGTGATTGTACACGATGTCGTATGGTACTGGAAGTACATTGCTGGCTCAATGGTCATGACAATTTGCCCGTGCCATGCGAGATTCCTTGCGGGTGATTTTCCTCGTGTCGGTCAAATCTCGCAAGCCGCAGATAATCCAAGAGAGTGAGCGGTTTAAAATTTCAGCGACCTTGAGATACAGTTGCACGAATATACATTAACGTCAAAAGTGCAGGGCAGAGAGGGCGCCTCGGCGGATGCTGTGATATCACATCTCTGCGGCTTTCGGCAGCGAGCATGTCAGTACGCCGGTGTCTGGGGTGGGAGGTGTGTTCGACGTCGAAGTCATGGAGTGTACGCGACGACGATCATCATCTAAACAGAAAGCGAGACTGTAGAGAAGGCAAGCTGCCCGCCTAAGTCACCGTCGCCGTCAGCCAGATTTTCTGTGCTTGGGCCGCGGTGGCGGTTAGGGAACTTACCGATCTACATAAGACGTGGTGCGGATCATAGCTTGGATGTCCCAGCGCCTTCAGCGCAGCGTCCATGACCACGGGACGCAGCACGCTTCTTCGGCCGCACCTTCGCGACGAACACAGGGACTTCATGTCCTTGCCAGGACTCGTCGCGCTCATGCCTTCGAGGAACGGCAGCGCCATGTGGAATCGGGCCCGGGCGCGCACATTAGACCGCGCTGAGTTGCGTCCAGGGCACGAGCACCTGGAGGGACCGTCGCACCTTCTCCCGTTTGTCGTGGTATTCGGCTGGGTACCCGAGGGAGAGTCGCGCGCGATCGTCTGACCCTCCGGAGAGAAGGGCAGAGACGTTGGCGGCGCTGAATTGGAGGTCAAGACTCGTCCAACTGGGGCTCTATCCCTCGATCCAGATGGGAGTACGGCAGGGAAGTCGCGGTAGTATTGTTCAAAGTGGATGGTTGCGGATGGGGAATCGCGAGGTGCCGGGCGATGGCATATTGGACGTAGGTGATGGGGAGACGTTTGAGGCTGGGGAGTTAAAAAGGACATAAGGTGTCGACCCGAGCCTTGATCCCGCACGGAGAGAAGCGGTCTTCCGTGACCGCTAGTTCTTCCAGGGTCGAGGAGCAAGAGGCGAGGACGTAGAGTAGATCATGAAGCTACTGCAGGTCACACATTATCAGCATGACACGGGTGAGTAAGCCACAACGAAGGGGGGGGACCAGTATGTGGAGCTTTCGCCGGGATGGCACGGGAATTACGTCGGTGTGTTGGTTCATGGAATCACGTCAATGAATCTGTATGTTGATCTACCATCGTGGCAAGCGGTCCCATGAGATGGAGATACTCGAGGTTGGGGGCTTGCAAGTCGAAGCAAAATGCACGGGAGGACGGCCAATGACGGTGGGGAGAGACGGCCAAGTCGCAAATTCGAAGAGTGTCTTCGGATAATGACAACACGTGATTTTCTGGCTGCGAGCCGCCCTCGGATTCCCCAAACTCCCTCATGTCTGCTCGCGCACTCCACCACCACCACCTTCTTCTCCTTCTCAATGCACGAACTAGACCAGCCCACCACTCAACGACATCGCCGGTTCTGGCTTGACGATGGAGATCTACTACTCAGCAACCGAGGCATTCTCTACAAGGTCCATCGCGCACCATTCGAACACTGCTCCAGCACATTCCTCTCGTCACTCCAACCGTCGGATGGGATCGTCATGGAAGGCATCAAAGCCCTCCGAATTCCGGACAATCGGCAGGTAGACACGGAGGACCTGGAGGTACTGATAGAACATGTATCGGGCGATACGTGAGTGCCTTCTGCTCTACTCTGCACAGAGGAAGTCATGGAGGCATGCGAAGCCCTATAGATGACAGCACACCCTTTCCGAAAGTCGCATCGCTTTTGCGAGCCTCCTCAGAGGGACAGCTCGATTTTTCTGCCGTGAACACTCTCGCCCGGAGTCACCTCGAACGCCTCTTCCCCACCGGACACGATCTCTTCGCCCGGTCGGAGTATGCGGAAGAGGCTCTGATACTGTCAACACAGTACAACATACCTTCGGTGAGTATCTCTCGTTCTTGCACAATGCGCGTAAACCCAGATCCCAAAAGATCCGCAAACCGCTCTTCTACACCGTCGCCACCCACCCACACGAACATGACGCCGCCGACATCGCGGCCGCACACCCTGCCCTCTCCCCCGATCTCGCCGCGCGATGCGAGACGCTGCTCGAAAACCTCGTCTCGCATTTCACCCCCGTCCTATTCACTGTGGCGACGGCCGGGCACATGGCGTGCACGGACATCTTGGCAGAGCAGTGGATGTCGCTCGTGATCAGCCCGGCGCTGGAGGACAACGGACTGACGCGGCCACTGGAGACCCTAGAGCGGATCATTGGGATTGACTGGAGAAAGGAGGGGCTGTGCGAGGAGTGTGTGCGGGACAAGACAGAGGAGTGGCGAGGGGAGCAGGAGACGGTGTGGGAAGCGATGGACGCGTGGGTGGGATGAAGCGTATGAAGATAACGATTCTGTAAGATACCGGGGATAGTAGGTAAGTGTTCCAACCTACTTGTGACGTTTATCCGGAGTCCAATGTTCAATGCCAGTAGATGCACGTTGCATGGAACGCGTGTTCCTAGCACTACTGCCAGGAGAACCTCTCTTTGACGGTACCCAGACAATCAATACAATCCACCGACATCGCTGAGGGAATTCTACCCCTCCTGGAACTATGAAACAATCTTCGCCGCCGTCGTTGTCCCGCATTCCAGTTCCATCTCCGAGAACCTCGCCTTCTCCGCCTACACTCCATGTTACGCAGCTTAAATCCCGGCGACGCCGGCTTCGGCTCCCCACCGTGTGTGACAACGCCGTCGGCAGCACCATGCTCGCACCCCGCAGGTTTACTCTCCCGCAACTGGCCCACCACGAGCAGTCCGTACCTCGCGGACCGGTTCGTGCGACATCATCGCGGTGGACCGCGACCACGGCACGGCCATCTCCTCGATAGGGCGCTCACGCGGAGGTCGTCAAATGGACCTCACCGTGCCCGCGGAGAACTCCGCCGCGCTCACCGGGTGCCGGGGCGTCTTCGGGTTACGGCTTGTTACAATACAAAGATCAAGGACAACCTGGGGAGCGAGGAGCCACAGAGGAACTTGATCGACGCCGTGCTCGAGCACGGGCTGCAGTGCTTTGTGTGGAGTACGCTGCCCAGCTCCGACAAGCTCTCGGGTGGTCCGTTTGTGTTTCGTATCTATGAAGGTACGGCAGTTAGCCTGACAGATCGTCGATGATGCTGATGAGAGTCCCAGGGAAACACTAAGTAGACGATTATATACACAAGACGGGACAGCTGGGGATGTTCATCTACACACGGGCAACTTGTACGAGAACACGATCTTCCGCTCGCACGTGGAGTACAACGAAGAACAACTTACAAGACCGCATCGAGTTCAAAAGCACAGCAATATAGTTCCGGGCGCAGCGTATACGTGGCAGTTTCCGCACACTGTCAGCTTAGACGCGAGTGGGATCCAACTGCGCCTCCTATGCAGGCCCCGGGTCGACGGCCGATTGCACCGATTGCAAGAAGACTCACCCAAGGGAGTTTGGCGCATGCGACGCCATGAGAGGAGCACAGGACAAGTTTCTTGGAGATTTTCTGTTTTGGAATTGCGACAAACGACCTCCAGCTGGAGTAAAGTTGTGACTCCGCACCGCGAGAAAATTGAAATGCCATTGGTTCAATCTCCACCTCGGCAACGCCCGTGTCGCACTGCCATGTACCAACCAGGCTCGCTGCCCTAGTACTGCCAGTACTTGTCGACTCTGTAGAGCACATATCTAGAGCGTGCGCCTACGAACCCAACAGCTCGCTCTGCTTGCGTTCAAGGCCTCAAGGACGCCGGCGTCACACAGTGCAAACCGACTCTCTGCCTTCAGCCCTGCGCCAAGAACACCCCACCCTCCACCCAGAGGTCCACTCCCACCCGAACCTCCTCCCTCTCCGTACGTTGCTAGAAGCCCACAAGGACCTTCTCCCGCGCTGAGGAGGCCGATGCTATCGCGTACCGGGCCATGAACTTCTTGTCGCCAGAGAAGAAGCGGAGCGACCGCAGCCTGCCGGAGGGCGCTGCGCACAGGTGATCGGTGGGGAGCCCCAGCCCGGTGTGGGGCCCGCATGTGGAATGCCACGCGCAGCGTGACCCCCTGCCACGGGATAATCGTGTCCAACACGCGTGCGTAGGTTTCCCCGGTTCGTACTGGAACCAAAGTTGACACGAGACAACAACATGGAAAAAAAAACCGCAAGCCTTTAGTACCCGATCGCGACCGCCTTGCCCTGATAGCTCTCCCACTGCGGGATGACCACGTCCACGATCAAATGCGCGACATCCTTCCGCGACACGGTGTACATTCCCTTCAGCAGTCCACTCGTGCTCGTCCGGTACGGCGCCTCCTCGCCCTTGCCTTCGTCAGCCACGCACTTGCCGTCCGTGAAGAACGCCGGGCGGACGATCACCACCTTCTTCAGCTCCCCAACTCCGGGCAGTCCCTCCGTACTCTCCCATCCGGGCGCCAGCACCTCGTCGATGACGACGTCCTCCGGGTTCCAAGGCGTGCCCATGCAGTGCGAGAGCATGCGCTCGACCCCGAGCTTGTCACGGTGCGGTGCGGGCAGGAGGATGCTGTAGAAGGGCTTCATGGGGAGCGGGAGCGCAGAGTGCTCTTCGCGGTTCATCCCGTAAGAGGTGATGACGACGAAACGCGGCTGGGACTCGGGCGTGCGGAGGGACGGGGGGAGGGTGCGGATGACGTTGGTGATGGAACGGGTGACGAGGTCTGGCGGAGTCATGACTATGCCCCTGAGGAGGACGAGGAGGAGGTTGGTGAAGCTCGGCTTTCCGCCTGCAAAGGGAAGTGTGAGTGGGCGGCGACAAGGGAAAAGTAACCAGCGCGACGTACCGACGGTGAAGAGAACGACGTCAACATTACCGTTTCCGGCGACGAGGGCAGACGCCCAGGCGGCCTCGAGAGTGTCGGGCTGGAGGGTGTCGCCCTTGACGAGACGGGCCTTGCCGCTCTGGATGTAGGGCTGCATTTCCGGGTCGGCGTCGAAGCAGTCGGGGTAGCGGAGGAGGTACGTAACCGTCACACCTTGCTCTGCAAGGGCTCGTCCGTCAGCTCCGATCTCGACAGCCGCTAGTAGTCACTAGTACTTAGCGATTCGATGGGCGATCAGTGAGCGTTTGAGCATCAAACGGCGATCACCGTGTGCTGCCTCAATTGAACCGCATCCCTTACCAGCGAATGTTACCGTGCAAGGTGGAGATTTCCCTTCGTATGTGGAAGGTCTGCCTAGGGGAGACTAGAGATTTCCGTAGGTGCGAGCTTGATGGGAAATGACGTTCCATCATGAACTCGAACCACACTTCCACTGTCGAAGACACCTTGGGAGATGCTGTCTCGCACCCCGCCAAGGGAATCATGAAGACCGCGTACGGAAAGGCCACTAATTTGAAGGCGCAAGCAGCCGCCCTTCGCTAGGCTCGTCCTCGACCCGGAGGTATGGCATCCAAGCGCATGCAGAGTCCAGGCGCGCAACAAAACTCACGATGTCCTTCAACAGTATTCTTCCATCACTACACACCAACAAACTTGAGAACTTGACGACATCCTCGCCGAACGGATGGGGTAGAGGGTAGGCACACCCAGGTGGATTGGCGGCCAAGACCGGCTAGTGGGCTACATTGCTCTAGCGCAGCGGGGGTACATGAAACTTTTCTAGTGGTGCGACTCCTTAGCGATGGCCGACGCGTACGGGTTGCGCGGGTCGCTGCGGTGCGGCTCGGCTGGAGGAAGTGGTGGATGGGACGTGTCACTTTGGCGACGCGCTGGGAGAAGAGCAGGACAGACGCACCCCGAACGGCCATGTCCTGGAGAGTGCTGACACCGAAGGCAGTCACCACACTGGCGGCAATGAAGGGCCACATAGGCTTGAGAACCTGGCGGTGGAGGGGAGGTAAGCAGGTAGTCGCGAGACGTGGAGGAGAAGACGTGCGGGAGTGGGCCACTTGCGGAGACCAAGGAAGCTCATGATGACAAAAGGGCCCTAAGAAGGCGTCAGACAGTGAAAGAGGCGGTTGCGGGAAGCCGACTCACGACAAGGAGGTGGTGGAGGGAGAAGCAGACGTTGAAGTCGACGAAATCGCGGCGGATGTCGGAATGCCCTCCAGCGCTAGCGGCATTCTGCTGGCATAGAGTCTGTTTACTTAGGTTTACTGGTAGTTACAAGTGCCCATTAGCTGAACTTATAAGGCATAAAGACGCTCATCATAACGCGCCCCTAACGCGCGCGGCGGCGCGAGTCGCTGCGTTCCTGTCGACTGTCCTTCATACCTCCACCATCCCCTCGAGTTTGCATACACCGCACGTTCTCACAACCAGAGCGGGCGTGTGCATACATCGATGGCGCAGTCACAACTCGCTGGCGGAGCGGCCCCAGCAGTAAGTCTTCAGTGCGCTCTCCCCAGCATGTACCAACAATCCCCACCAACGATCCCCACAGTGGAGGCAGTTCCCCTTCTTCGACGTCGTTCCCGTCAAGGACGCACATGACCTCGGCAGCTCCCCTGAGATATTCCAGGTAACGTCGCTCCGTTCCAGCGCGTGCCTCGCACCCTTGACCAATGCATGCAGAAAACTCCAGAAATATCGACGACAGTAGCGTCCTCCGTCGGGCTCATCGTCGCCGACATCCATGGAAGTGTCTACCTCGTCGACCGCGACTTCGAGATTGGCAAGGCCTGGGTCGCGCACGTCGGAGGGCGGGTCACGCATATGGCCGAACGTCGAGGCATCCTCATTACGCTCGGGGTGAGTTGCGTCGACCGAGCCCAGGTATATGCGTCCTCTGATCGCGGCGCAGGAAGAGGACGCCGTCCGACACCCGCTGCTCAAAGTCTGGGACCTCCAGGCCTTCGACAAGAAGACCGGCGCCCCGCTTCTCCTCCGTGCAGCTAAGGTCCAGAGCGGGAACCGCCCCCACCCCGTATCGACCATCGCCCTCTCCGCGACGCTCGCGTACCTCGCTATCGGGCTCGGTGACGGCACCGTCATTCTCTACCGCCACCTTGACCAGTCTGTCTTCTCCACCTCCGGCTCGCTCAGCACCCTCCCAAAGCCGCGCGTCATTCACGAGTCTTCCACCGAGCCGGTCACCGGCCTCGGATTTCGGGAGCCGTCCGACGACAGCCCAAACATTTACCTCTTCATCGTCACCATTGGCCGCGTTCTATGCTATCAAGCGTCAGGGAAAGGCAACGGTGCGGCGCCCATCTCGGTCGACGAGATTGGTGCAGGACTGGGGTGCGCGAACATGGACTGGAAGGCGCGGGAGGTGGTCGTGGCGAGGGACGAGGCGATATACTTGTGTGGGACGGAGAGCCGAGGCGCGTGCTTCGCGTACGAAGGTGAGTTCATCCTTGCATCACAACGCTGCCTGGTTTGAATAGCCTCTCCTCGCAGGATTGAAGTCGCGGATACACACGTACCGCAACTACATCGTCATCATTTCCCCACCATTCGCGCCGACAGCTACCGCTGCGTCAGCAACAGTGCGCAACTTTGTCGCGAAGAATGTCGCTCCTGCCGGGTCTGAGATCACGAAAGTCACGGTCTTCGACCTGGAGAACAAGTTTGTCGCGTATACAGGCACCTTCATGGAAGGCGTGCGGGAGATATTCTCGGTGTGGGGAAAGCTGTATGTCCTCTCCAACGACGGAAAGGTAAGTACGTTGAAGCTTGTCTACGATCATGCATTCAACTTCCTCCGCAGTTGATGTGTTTGGAAGAGAAGCCCACGTCCACGAAGCTCGACATGCTGTATCGCAAAGGGCTCTACGTCCTTGCCCTCAACATCGCGGAGACGCAGCAGCTCGATGAGGCCCACGTAGCCGACATTCACAAGCAGTATGGAGATCACCTGTACACGAAGGGTGACTACGACGGTGCTATGCAACAGTACATCCAGACCATGCGCTATGTGCAGCCGAGTTATGTCATCCGGAAGGTAAGCACCCATCCCTCCCTCCATATTCTTCCGAATCTGATGTCGTGGCGTCTCTAGTTCCTGGATGCTCAGCGCATACACAACCTTGTCACCTATTTGCAAGAACTGCACTCGCTCGGGCTCGCCAACTCGGATCATACCACCCTTCTCCTCAACACCTACACGAAACTGAAGGACGTCTCGCGGCTCGACAGCTTCATCAAGCGCGAGTCTCTGCGAACGACAGGCGATGGAGACAAGGATGAGTTACCGTTCGACCTGGATACCGCCATTCGCGTGTGCCGGCAAGCAGGTTACTTTGAGCATGCGTCGTACCTCGCGAAGAAGTATGAACGCCACGAAGACTACCTCCGGATACAGATCGAAGATGCGGGCAATTACAAGGATGCGCTCTTGTATCTTCGGAGACTGGGGGCGGAGGCTGTGAGTGACGTGACATGCTGTTCGGTGGCCGAGTGCTGATAGATATCGGCAGGCTGAAAGCAACCTTGCGCGTTATGGCCGAGCGATGCTCGAGAACCTCCCAGAAGAGACGACAGACCTCCTTATCGACCTCTGCACCAGCCTGTCGCCGTTGACGGTTGAGCCGGAGCAGATCGAGATCGTTTCAACGAGGCAACAGCAGAGCGGCGGTCCATCCTACCTCTCGTACCTCGCTCTGAACCGAGTGTCAACTGCTGGGCTCGCATTACCTTCAGACGCAGCACCCTCTCCATCTCAACCAGAACCTCCACGAGATCCCGCCAAGGAACCTTCCCAGACTCCCTCTCCATCCGACGCGACTCCCGAGACGACCACCCCTGTGAAAGCGCCTCCACCAACTGTGAAGCGCCCATCTCCCCGCCTTTACTTCGCGCATTTTGTCGACCATCCCAATCACTTCATACGCTTCCTCGAGACCGTTGCGCGGAAACGCTGGGGCCAGGCACTGGAAAAGTCCGGTACGCCTCTCGCCGTGGGGACCGACCCGAACGCCGACGAACAGGCTGAACAGGCGGACCAGGTCGCCGTCTGGAACACCCTCTTCGAGCTCTACCTCTCCCGCCCGGGCGCTGACCCCACCACGCACACGGACACCAAGGCACTCGCTGTGCTCGAGAACACGAGCCTCCCTTACGACACCACGCACGCGCTCATCCTCTGCTCCACACGCGCGTTCACGCCCGGGCTCGTCCTCCTCTGGGAGCGCCTGGGGATGCACGAGGACGTCGTGCGTTTCTTCATCGACCGACACGGCGCGGGGGACGCGGGCGCGAGCGCCGAGGTCGTCCGCCGGCTCGCACAGTACGGGCCCGGGCGCGCGCAGCTGTACCCCCTCGTGCTCCGCTTCCTGACGAGCACCCCGGCGCTGCTCGCGAAGCACCGGCGGGACGTGGCTGAGGTGCTGCGGGTGATCGATGCAGAGAATATCATGCCGCCAGTGAGCGTCGTGCAGCTGCTGAGTCGGAACGACGTCGCGAGCGTGGGGCTCGTCAAGGAGTGGCTCATGCAGCGCATCCAGAGCGCGCGTGAGGAGGTCGAGACGGTGAGTGGCTCGCTGTGTGTTGTGTGACATGAGCGTGGGGTGCTGACAGCCACCGCAGGACCAGCAGCTGATCATGTCGTACCGGCTGGAGACGCAGGCGAAGGTGCGCCAGGTGGAGGAGCTCGCGGACCCGGACCGGCCGCACGTATTCCACGTGAGCCAGTGCTCGGCGTGCCAGGGAGGGCTCGACCTCCCGGCGGTGCACTTCATGTGCAACCACTCCTACCACCAGCGGTACGTCGTTTTCAGTTCCTTTGCGCGGACAGACGTGCTCACACGCTCGCGCGCAGGTGTCTGCCGCAGAACGAGACGGAGTGCCCGAACTGCGCCCGGGAGCACGGGATGATTAGGGAGATCCGGCGGAACCACGAGCGGCTGGCGGACCAGCACGACCTGTTCGTGTCCGAGGTGCGCGAGGGTGGGTTCAGCGCGCTCGCGGGGGGCTTTGGGCGCGGGACGTTGAACATGGCACGGGTCGACGACGTTACGGCGTAGATTATTCCCAGCATAGGTTTTTCTAGGGACCAAGCCACTTGAGCAGGACACACGTTGCGGCCCAACGCACCCCTCCCATCTTATCATAGGAGGATTAGTATATCGAATCGGGAGTGAACGAGCATGGGGTAGGCGCGCGTTGTCCTGGCCTGGCACATGATAGACGCTCGATGCAAGTGGCAGTACCATGTGCCACTGAGATTTTCTCTTAAGTGTGGCGCAAGTATGGTGCGACGGAGGAATCAAGCACTCACAGCTCCCTTCCTGCCATGAGGTGAGCTCACCATCTACCCAGAGACTCAGTCGCTGAGGTCCATCCGCAGAGTCAAGCATGAAACTTCGATGTCGGTGAGCATCTCTCAAGTGCAGTACTGTTGCTGCTCACGGTTTGGCTCTAACACTCTCACTGATAGCCCCTCGGCCGGAAAGACGCGTCCCCCGCATCCTTGAAGAACGACGATGACCAGAAGTGCATCTGCCCTCATCAAGCTCATATCGACACCCTGTCTCCCGAACTCCTCGTCATGATCTTCAAATTCGTCCTACGGTGGATCGACAAGGGCGGCTTCCAACGCTCGGACCACTCTCATCGCATGCTGTGTCCCCTGTCACTCGGCGCCGTGTGTAGGCGTTGGTGCATGATCGCCCTCGACACACCAGCGCTGTGGACCGTCATCGAATGGCAGCCTCGCAAGACTCGGCGGGAGTACTCAGAAGAGATGCAAGAGTCTTTCCTCGGACGTTCTCAACATGCTCCACCCTATGGAGCGGCCTGGATAGACGAGGAGGGGGGTGTCGACCCTTCTGTGGCCCGGCACGCTCATCGGATCCGTAACTTCTTTATCGGCGATCGAAGCGAGCGCACGCCTACGCTTGACTTCGACCTGCCCGTCCTCGAGCAACTCACCATCGAAGGCCCACCCTTCGGTCTCTCGAAAACAGTTAGGAGATTTATCTCTAACGAGCTCAGCATGGTTCCGCTCTTCACCTCGGAACCACCCAATTTGCGCAGACTCGCCATGAGCGCCACCACCTTACCCTGCCCTGACGCATCTCGCACTCGAGAACATCAACATTCCCGCCTTCAGAGATCTGTTCCCCATCCTCACCTGCTGTGCCTGCAAACTGGAGGGCCTTATCCTCAAGGGCATGGAATACCACGAAACGCGCCCCCGTCGTTACGATGAGCTGCCCACTGCTGGGGAGGAAAACTGAGTGTTTATGAGGACCAGAGACCGTCGCCCCTAAAACAGGAGGTTTCCGATATGGAACCATCTTCCGCTTGAATGATCCGCGACCCGCTGTGCATAGTGAGTTAGCGTTAGAAATGTAAATGGATCCGGACACCCAAACGATGGCGAGGTGAAGAGAAGCATGAGTGCCGGGGCTTGCCGAGCCTGCGCACCAGTCGAGAGGCTAGAAGCGCTCGTTCTCGCCTGTGTTTACTGGACGCGTATTTCAGAGCCACCCCGCCGCCGCCTCGCCCTCATCAACTCCCGCCTCCTCTCCCACCTGCTCGTCCCCCCGTCGGCGTCCACGCACCTCGAATACCCCTACGACTCGCCCTCCCTCCACGGCGCACGCATCCCTGGACGACGCTCGCGCTCGACGCAGTCGGTGACGCGACGTTCGTCACGCGCGTCGCCGTCGCGCTCGGGGTGCCGCTCCCCATACCCGCGCGCAGCTCTCGTTCCGCTACTCCGGCAACTCGCTCGAAGCTGGTCCTGCCCTGGACGGAGCCGCCGCACGCGGGGTTGGCGCTCCTCGCCGACTGTCTCCGCGAGGCGAGGGCGGGCCGCCTCGCATCCTTGCGCGTCGTCCTGAAGGTCTCAGGGCGGCCGAGGGAAGATGCGGGCATGGTGGCCGCGGCGAAGGTACTGTGCAAGGTCGTTGGAGGGGACTCTGAGGCGTCCGAACCCGGTGCGCGTGCGCCGCTGGGACTGAAGGAGCTGGAGATGCGCGTGCAAGACACCGGGGTTCTGGGGCAGATGGACTTGGCCGCGCGCGCAGCCGGGATAGAGAGGATCGTGATCCACTGCCCGTATCCGGAGGACGGCCGGGTCGGGCGCGTGGGGAGAAAGCTGCCGCAGAGAGAGGTACGTACATGCGTTGAGGGGCTCTATGTTGATGGACTTGCCGCTCCCGGAGTTGGACAAGGCGATGGACGGCATGCACTGGTGGTAGAGCACTCGGCGCCATGCGCGGCGACAGATCGTGGAGGAGAAGTGGGGAGATGAGTAGCAGATCAATAATGATAGGTGGTATAACACAGGCTAAGTGGATCAACGTATGAGCTCGTTCCATGCAAGCGCCATTCGGAGACGACTCCCCGCAGCTCTAGTATCCGATCGCGACTGCTTTGCCCTGATAGCGTTCCCACTGCGGGAGGATCACGGACGTGATCAGGTGCGCGACGTCCTTGCGCGATACGGTGTACATCCCCTTCAGCTTCCCGTCCGCGTTCGTCCGGTACGGCTCCGCCTTACCGCCCGGCTCGTCCCCAACGCACTTGCCATCCGTGAAGAACGCCGGGCGCACGATCACCACCTTCTTCAGCTCGCCAACTCCGGGAAGTCCTTCCGTGCTCTCCCATCCGGGCGCCAGCACCTCGTCGACGACGACATCCTTCGGGTCCCAAGGCGTGCCCATGCAGTGCGAGAGAACGCGCTCGACCCCGAGCTTGTCACGGTGCGGTGCAGGCAGGAGGATGCTGTAGAAGGGCTTCATCGGGAGCGGGAGCGCAGCGTGCTCTTCGCGGTTCATCCCGTAAGAGGTGATGACGACGAAGCGCGGCTGGGACTCTGGCGCGCGGAGGGACGGGGGGAGGGTGCGGACGACGTTGGTGATGGAGCGGGTGACGAGGTCGGGTGGGGTCATGACTACGCCACTGAGGGTGAAGCTCGGCTTTCCGCCTGCGAAGGGAAGTGTGAGTGGGCGGGAACAAGGGAAAAGTAACCAGCGCGACGTACCGACGGTGAAGAGAACGACGTCAACATTGCCGTTGCCAGCGGCGAGGGCGGACGCCCAGGCGGCCTCAAGAGTGTCGGGCTGGAGGGTGTCGCCCTTGATGAGGCGCGCCTTGCCGCTCTGGATGTAGGGCTGCATTTCCGGGTCGGCGTCGAAGCAGTCGGTGTAGCGGAGGAGGTACGTGACTGTCGCTCCTTGGTCTGCAAGGGATTGTCCGTCAGCTCCGGCAGATAGTCCTGAGAGACGCTGGTCAGGGCACATACTAAGGAGACGCAGACTCGCATGGTAGCCCGTGTTCTTAGAGGACCCAAAGGCCAGCACGTTGATAGGCATGGTGGGCAGGCGGTGGTAAGTTGGGAGGAGTATGTTGTCGAAGCCGGAAACTGATGGAACGGCCAGGCTGGCATCGAGTCTGACTATATACCATACGTGGCCGTCGCCCCTGGCCTGCGCAGGAGGCGCAGTTGACTCCTACTCATGTCAGGGCCGACAGTGCCACGTGGACGTTGTGCATGAAACCAGATTGTTGTGCTTGTAAGCGAGGGACCACGTACGTTCAAGCCGGTTTGGGCTTGTGTGAGACCTCCGCATTGCGCCGACGGGAGCGGATGATTAAGAGCGCTTATTTGACATCCCGGCGCAGGCCCTGCGTAACGGCACAGGCACGACCTAGCAGCGCTGGATATCTGTGCGGGATGTGCGCAGATCGAGCAGCTGGCCAGGAGTTGCCCTGCTTTGCGGCGGCCGAGGCTTGCCACAGGAGCACCGCAACTCCTGCCTTCCTCCCTTGTCACTCATTCCGTGAGCCTAAAGACCACAACACATTCGTGCAAAAACAGTGTCTGCTCAGTAAACGCTCAGACACCCCTTGCAAGACTCCCGACGCCACCGGTATGACTGGAAGTATCCGATGTCGTGCGCGAACTGCGACCGCCCGCCGGCTGCGGCGAAGACGCATCCGAAACACGGCACTGCACGTGTCCGATATCTAATCTCTCCTACTCAGATGATGCTTACCAACCCCCGACTCGCCGGCTTCTCGGATGCTTTCTATAGTTCGGCGCAGCCTTTTCGAGCCCTCATTTTCTTGGCTCCTCCTGACAGACTGCGACAATCCTGCCGATCTGCACAGTCGGAAATCCTACAAAGTTTTTGGTCAGCACTGTTCCGCCCAGCGGCTTCTCGTCGCGGAACATGGCTTAGACATGTCCTCCCTGGACTGTTGGTCGACTCGCGCCGGATCGACTCAGACCCAGAGAGCATCCACTTTTGGTACAGACTCCCAGGAAGAAGCTGATTGGTTTTGATAGAGCAAGCTACCCACCGCCGGGGGGCGAACGCCATTCGCCGTCTTTGTACGTTGACTCCGTTCGATGACGACCTCGTGGACGAGAATGACGAAGACAACCCATGGCCCTGAAGGAGTAGAGATGGGGAAGCGTTTCCTCGATTCTCTACAGCAGAATCGTCATGCAATGAGGTAAATACGTGACTCGTGTAACTCGTTATAGACAGCACATCTAACATCTTACCTTTTAGTATGGAAGAAGTGAGGAACTACGGTTCGATTGTCCTTGAAAACGCTAATATGCCATCTGATCAGCTACTTGAAATGGAAGGAGGTCTTGCCAAGGCCCTCGCTTTCGTTCGCCAGACCATCAATATCCGTCGCGCCATCGGCAATGCGATTCCCCCCGAAGTCCTTGCGATCATCTTCAAATATGCTGTCCAATGGAGGGACAGTGGTCTACAGTGCAGAAGTTTCGAGCCCCCAAACCACTTGTCCTGCATGCTCGACCGTCTACGCCTCGGTGCCGTTTGCAGCCGATGGCGCATGGTCGCATTGAGCATGGCCGAGTTTTGGACCACCATTGATGAATCTCACCAAGCCCTCCAAGACGAGTTCTTACGACGATCGCAGGACACAGCTCCCCTTACTGTTCTCCTTCCTGATATTCGCCAGAATGGCTCACTCCTCGCTGCGCACGCGCACCGGATTCGTGATCTCTTCATGAAACTTGGATCAGACAGGCAGCCTCAACTCGCTTTCAGTCTCCCAACCCTCGAGTGTCTGACCATGACAGGCAAGGATCGTTTCCCGACGCACCGCATCGCCGCCGATTCGCAGGACTATATTTCGATCTTCCCCTCCGACCCCCCTCGACTGCGCGTGCTCGTCATGCGCGAGGCTCTCTGGTTCCCTGCCATCGCGTACGGCGCGCTCACCCATGTCCACATTGACAACTCGCGCCTCCGCTCGCTCACGTCACTCCTCAACATCCTCGCCGTCTGCGCGCCCGCACTCCAATATCTCACACTCGTCAACATCTCGATATCTGACGGGGGAGCCCTGGTGCCGCCCTCGCTCGTCGAGCTTTCGCGCCTCCAGCGGCTCGTCCTCGGCCAGGCCGTCGAGGGTCCGCACTTCCATTTCGGGCTCGTCCCGCTCCTGCGATACCTCACCCTTCCACCCTCCGCCGTGATCCACATCACCGGCGGCTCCAGCATGCTCACCGCGCTCGAATCCGTCTCCAAGCTCTCCGCCTCCCCCGCGCTCGCCGGAATCGCAGAGTGCACCGCGCTCACGCTCGAAACCTGTGCGCAGCAACCCCCAGCCATGCAGGCCGGAGAATGCGCCAGCTGCGCCGGGCCCGCTCGAGAGTTCGTGCGCACGACCGCAGTGCTGTCCGGAGCCGCCGCGGACCCGCGCGCCCGGCTCTCGCTGCGGCTCTGGGGGGGCGTCAGGGAGCCGCTCGTGCGCGCCGCGCTCGCCGCGCTCGTGCCGTGGGCGACGCTCACCTCCGTGACGTACCGGTGCACGTCGAACGACACCCTCCTCCTCGATCTGGTGCGCCAGATGGAGGCGGACCGCGTGCGCGCGCTGCGCGTCGTCCAAGGGAGCGACATGATGCCCCTCATCGTGGACTTGTTCGCGGTCGAGGTGGGGAAGCTCGTGGGCGGCAACGGGCGCCCAGGGTGGGCCGGGATGGAGCTAGACGAGCTGGAGGTGTGGGCGGAAGATGCAAGCTTTTTGGGGCGGATGGGGCTCGCGGCGCGCTCGGCAAAGGGCGTGGAGAGGATCGTCTTCCACTGGCCCGCGTGGCAGGAGGGTCCAGAGGAACGGGTCGTGAAAAAATTGCCCCAGCTGGAATTATGTTCGTTCGAAGGGACGACGGCGGAGTCGGCGGCACCCATGGAAGAGTTAGATTCCGTCGAAGAAGGGTTCTTTTGGCGATAGGCCTACGGAGCAGTCTGGGCCGACGAGGACTTGTTCGCGGAGGATGTCGGCCGGGGGCTGGCGGGGTACGCCGAGCTGTAGGTGATTGTGTTATCCTGGTCCTTCTGCTGAGACGACGCTTGGGCGACGTGTCACGCTGGCGGAGATGTGGTGCCGCAGGCGAAGATGCTTGGCCTCGACGTCGTCCAGGACTGATGCTGTATGGTGGAGGTAATTCGAGAACCATAGCTGTACGAAGCCGCGGTTAAGATGCAGATGTATCAAAAGGGTTGAAGATTTTTGTAGTGGCTCATAAGTAAACTAGCGTAGTACGTTGTGCGTCCGATCGTGGGCCGCTCTAGAAACCGACCGTTTCGGGAGCAGCGACTAGTCCGATAATCTCGGAGTTTCCACCGCTCCCAAGGTGAAGGAAAAGAAACCAAATGCATACCGAGATCACGTAGAAATACATAGATGAAGGATTGCTGTGCCGTACTACAGCTTCGCTCCCCCTGCCCCTAGGCCGGCTGGCGTCGGCGTCGGTAGCTTCGGTGTCATCTTGTTGTGTGTCCCGGAGATGCACAACCGGCCGTGCGTGACATCCCATATCTGCGGGCAGCAACGCGCCGTAGCCGCATCAGCAGGCGCACAACAGGCAAATCGGAGAAGCTCTACAGACGCACCTCGACCCGCGACGCGACCGTACGCGCGCCGAACGACGTCGTCGTGCTTACCACGCTGAGCTTCGCGCCGCTGTATAAGCCGGACACAGCCGTGTGAGCATGTGCGCCGATCATGGAAGCGGAGGTGAGAGCTGCGGACGTACAGTGGCGCAGGCGCGTGGTACGTGGTCACGATCGATTGCGAGACAAAGTCGGCCGGCTTGCCCTGGACCATGCCGAGGAACGCGAGCCCGACCGACGAGCATCTGCGGGTGTGTTTGTCCGCGCGCGCGAAGGGAGGGAGATGGACGTCAGCGTTAATGTCGGGAGCGTGCGGACTGGTGTTGGCGACACGGGGAGCAGGGAAAAGAGGTCCGGGAGAAAGGGTACTGACACATCGACGATGAACGCCGTGCAGCCGCCGTGCATGGTCTGTTGCCGGTTAAGCATATCTGTGTACACGCGGAGTGAGCATGGGTCACGGCCGAGTGCGGCCCATAGACAGCAGGAAACGCACCGTGGTCAACAGTGATGGTATAGACGACGCGGGACTGCAGCTTGCGGTCCTCGGGACGTCGGTAGACTGAGGCCTCGGTGAGAGCGAGGCGCTGGCCTGTCGAGTGGGCGAAGTTGACGTCCTTGAGGTGGAAGTTGGAGAACTGGACGATCTGCCTCTGGACGGCGAGCGGGACATCGCCCTTGAAGATGACGGAAGAGGACTCGGTGATCTGCTCCATTGCTGAGAGTAGGTGCTTGCAGGAGAGAGGGCGAAAGGCGGGGCACGGGGAGGGGTAGTGGTGGGACAGGAAAATGGGGGCCAGGGGGCTTTTGAGCGAACCGAGTGGGAGCCCGGCCCAGCCTGGCCTACAGGTGCGAGCGGCCCAGTGTAGGCGATCAGTGCAGTCCTCCCTTTCTGAAAGCCGCCCATCGCGTCGGGCCCGGGGATGGGATGCGCGGGTATGCAAGGAAGGCGAGATGCGCGGACGGCGCGGCGCGAGTGTGGCCACGCGGGCGCCGATGGAGAAGACGACGAAGCTGGGAAGCCGATGACCCAGGTACGTACATACCGATGACGCTGAACGTTGAGCCTTTCCCGACTTTCACGGGCTGCGCCGGCGACGTCCGCGGGCCTGACCTCTGTCCGACAGCGGACTGTGTCACTGTGCCGCGTACCGTGGGATGCGTGTCGGAGCACGACGTCCACCCGCCGGATATCTCCTGAGATGGAGTGGTGGAGGGTAGAGGCCGGCATGGCTTCTGACCGAAGGGGAGAATGAGAGACTAGAACCGCGCGGCACAAATGTCAGGATGCAGCACAGAAACTGGGATTTCTACCACTTGGTTCTACGCACACGGGAAGAGTACGTCAGGAGGCCGGAGGGTCAGCAAATGGGGAAGTGGATCACGTACCTCTGTACTTCTGGACGCCGTGAGCGCATGAGTCGCGTAAGGCGGAGCGAGAGGACTACCATGTCCGTCACCGGCGAGTGGGTGGTCGGGAATCAAGGCGGAGCTGGAGAGCAAGGCCGACGATTCACAAAGCAGGAAACGAACGGAGGTGGCCGTCGTCGCCAGGCCTCGCCGGCCGTTGCCGTTTCGACAGCCGACGGTCCGGACGGCCCGTGGGGTCGTCGCACTCGAACGGCGAAGACATGTCTTCTCCACAAGTACTAGACAAAGTCGTATGCTTGGGGCAGTCAATCGGTGGCTTATAGAGCAACGACGACGCTCGCGAGCTTTCTCGAGGCTCACTCACATTCGGCATGATTGTACTCACCATCCAGTGCCGGCTACCGACCCGGCGGCCAGCAATCCCTCTTGCCCAAATCACGTTTGTCCGATGGCCCGATCCGCCATCCGTTGCCTCCGGCCTGCACATTCCACACCCACGCACCACCACCGTCTTCGTGCATCCCATGACCACGACTTCCCAGCTTCGAGCTTCGACGACATCGTCATCAGGGGCGACCTCCCACCGCATGCCAGGGACCTCTTCCGCCGATGGGTCCGCGACGACCAGACAAAGCCCACTTTCGCGTTCACCATCGCCTCCTCCCTCCTCTGAGGCCGAATTCTTCTCGCGCGAGCGCGACAACAAGCTGCAGGCACGGGTAACGTACCGTCTCGCTCTCGCTGACGGTGCGTCACTCGCGAGTCCGCGCGCCGCGTTTGGCAATGTCCGGGACATGAGACGCCTTAGCGCGCGCGGCTATCTACGAGATTAGATAGCGCACCAGCCGAGACTCGCGAGGGAGATTGGAGGTACGAAAGCCCAAACAGCTTCTGGAGATTGCTCCTCCAGAAGCGGGCCCTTTTATATTCGCTAGCTACGATGTACATGAGTCAATGTGAGTCGCGCGTGCATTCGCGTGCTGCAGCGTTAGCTCGCCTGCTTGCACTCACATGTCGTGTAGAGTCAACGGAAATACAAAGAGCAATCGCACGAAAGGCGCGAGGCGTCTGCGTACGATACTGGAAGAAGTAACTACGTAGTCAGGGCGCTGGTACGCTCCAGGCACAAGAGGCAACGTGCAGGAGCGCGCGGTCACTCTCCACGGCCCGGTTGTACATGAGGCGCTCAAGTGAGCTCTTGTACGGCGCGCGGTAGCCTCGTGGCTGGGCGTCGGAGCCGCGCGCTGCTTACTAACACCGTGACTTGCGTGATTACTGGAAAAGGCAAATTTCCGTAACATCACCCCCCTCTCTAACATCGTGTCCTCACGATTCAGGCCAGAGTCCAGACGCGAAGCGGAACAGTCATCGTTCCTTTCCATCTGTCCCATTTGCGCGACCACTTATCCCATTCGTGATCCAAAGGGTCCGTGATCTGAACTAGACGCGCGCGTGGTCCTAGTAGACGGAAAGGTCGGGGGGCGGTAGGATTATGCTTGTGGTAGTCGTCGATTAGATCCTTGTACTTATCGAACAACTTTCCACGGGGGACCCAGGTGTTCTCGGAGATGGGCTTGTCTTTCCACTTGACGAGGTATTGCACAGTACCGGACTCGAACTTGGAGTTTACCACGGTCTCGGGCTCTTCGGGCTTGTCGACACCTTCAGGCGCCATGGTCTCTAAGCGCTCTTGGTTGTTGAACTCGGGGGCGAATGCAGGGGTAAGCAGATCTTCGTTGAACACGGGGTGGATACCACTGAGAGCCTTGGGTAGCTTCAGCTTGTATGCACTTGCACCGACTTTTGCGAGGATTTTGAAGGGACCGTAGCGCTTGTGCTCCAACTTTTTGTTTGGACGCACAGTGGTGATGTTTAGCGCTTCCAACCACACGAGATCTCCTTCTTGGTAATCTCGTGCGGGATTGCGGTGTCGGTCGAATTTCTCCTTCATGATTTTCTGTGCTGCCTTCAGGCTTTCTGTAGCGGCTTCAGAAATATCATCCATGCGTGTTTTGAACTGTTCGGCTGATTCGCTCTTTGCCGGCTTGTGTGTCTCTACCCCAGTGTACGGATGGAAGCCGTGTGTCATGTAGAAGGGGGAGAACTTAGTGGCAGAATGTTGTCGATTGCGATATGCAAAGAGCGCGAGCGGTAGCCAGTCGACCCAGTCGTCTTGTCGGTGATTGATGAAGATGCGGAGGTAGTTCTTGATTTCCCGGTTCATACGTTCAGTTTGCCCATCTGTTTGTGGATGGTACGCCGTACTTGGGTTTCCCTGTATTCCTAACTTTTGGTACAAGCTCTTCGTGAAGTTGGATACGAACTGTGGTCCTCGGTCCGATGTGATCTTGCGTGGGAGTCCATGTTGTGACCAGACGTGCTTGAGTAAGATGTTTGCGTATCCTTCTGAGTCTAGTGCTTCGAGGCATGGAACTGCAATTACGTCCTTGGACTTCATGTCTACACACACGAATATGGAGTCAAAGCCGAGGCATCTTGGTAGGTGCGTGATCAGATCTACAGAGATGTATTCCCAGTTTCGACTAGGAATCTCGTGCGGATGCAGTGGGGCTGACTTGGCTTGCGTGCGTATTTTCGTTCGTTGACATGTGGTGCACCCTATGATGTACTTTGCGACGTCCTTGCGTAGCGTTGGCCACCAGTATGAACGTTGCACAAGATCTTGAGTCTTGCTCCGGCCCGGATGGCCAGCGCTAACAGAGTCGTGATGCGCGCCGATGATGCGTCCGCGGAGCGCTTTGTCATCAGGAATGACAAGCTTCCCCCTCCTATAGATCAGGCCGTCCTCGGTCTGAACGTAGTCTTCGTTTATGCCCACACGGTTACGTATATCTTCATCCATTTTAGACATTAAGTCTGTCACGGATGTGATGATATTCGTAGTTCCATCTATTGTAGTCTTGCGGAATAGATGTGGTTTCAACAGTACTTCGTTCTCGACTTCTTCCTTGTCGGCAGTGTGATCGGGTCGTCGTGATAATGCGTCTGGCTTCCCCATGGTCTTCCCTGGGTGGTGGCTGAGTTCGAGATCGTATTCTTCTATTGCAAGTAGCCACCGGACTTGTCGGGGACTTAAGCGCTGAGGGTTTCGGAAGTATTCTAGGTTCTTGTGGTCTGTCCAAACTTCTACGGGATGTGCGGCTCCAAGTAGGAAGTGCCTCCATTCGTCAAGTGCGTGTATTACTGCCAGCATCTCACGATCGTAGATCTGGTAGTTCTTTTCTGCACTTGTCAGAGATCTCGATAGGAAGGCTATGGTTCGCCACTGCCCGTCTTGCTTCTGCGATAACTCGGCTCCTAGCGCGTAGTTTGAGGCGTCGCACTCGATCTTGAATGGATCTGAATCGTTGGGGACAGCGAGGACAGGTGCGCTCGTAATCAGTTTCTTGATAGCTTCAAACGCGCTCTGTTCTTCGTGTGTCCATTGCCACTCTACGTCGCCTGTCAGGCGATTTAAGGGTCCGGCTGCTTTCGAGAAGTCTTTGATGAATCGTCTGTAGAAGTTCGCGAATCCTAGAAACCCTTGTACGTGTTTCTTGCAGGTTGGAGTTGGCCACTCGGTGACACCGGCTACCTTGGCGGGGTCCATCTTGATAATTCCTGGCGCTATGATGTGTCCTAGATATTCAGTTTCTTGTACTTCAAACTCGCACTTCTCGGGTTTGCAGGTGAGTTTGTTGTCTCGCAAGATCTTGAGTACTTCGCGTACAACGCGTCTGTGTTCGTGAAGATCTTGCGAGAGTATAAGAATGTCGTCTAGGTACACAATGACCTTGCCTTGCAAGATGAGGTTGCGGAAGATGTCGTTCATCATCATTTGGAAGGTTGAGGGAGAGTTTGATAGTCCGAAGAACATAACCGTGGGTTCAAACAGTCCTCGGTTTGTGATGAACGCAGCCTTCTCCTCGTCTCCATCTTTCATGCGGATATTATTGTATCCCCATCGCACGTCGAGCTTGGTGTAGTACTTGGCTCCTTTGAGGCGATCAAAGATATCTGACATGAGAGGTAGTGGGTACTTGTTCTTTTTGGTCATGGAGTTCAACTTGCGATAGTCTTGTACCGGTCTTAGCTTACCATCCTTCTTTTTTACGAAGAAGAAAGGTGCTCCCCATGGTGACTTAGAGGATCGAATTCGTCCAGTGCGCAGGTTCTCATCCAAGAACTCATCCAGTGCTTGTTGGTGTTGTCGGGGCATTGGATACACCTTTCCACAGTATGGTTTCGCGTCAGGCAGGAGTTCTATAGCGTGATCGTATGGGCGTCGCTCGGGTAGTGTGTTGAATGTACTGTCTTCAAACACGTCCTTGAAGTCGTGATAATG